AAATAGCTTGAAATAGATCTATACTAGTCTCCCTTTATTTATTTATCAGCACAAATTAAAAAAAACATATATATATATATATATATATATATACTGGTGTATGCTGGATCTGTGAATTTCAACTCAAAAGGAACGTCTGTGTGTCTTTTTATTACAACACGGAATAGTGATGATAATATACACCTACAAACCCTGCTTGAAGTCATGCTGTGATACAGCTGGTGCCGCACAACCAATTGCTCGATTCCACTGGTATAGTTTTGCCAACTGCTTCTGATATAAGCCATATTGCTGCTCTCATTTCACCTTTTATACAAGAGATTTCCACGTTACTTATCCCTTTTCATTTTCTTTGCCAAATTCAGCATCTACTGTAGAGCAGGGTTGTCAAACTCCTATGCCTGGTTTAGTGAAGGGGGGGGGAAGTCCCGATATGTCACGTGATGCCACCGTGACACCATGCGTTTGACACCCCTGATCTAGAGCACACACCACTCTACTCATGATTAAGTGGTAACTGGGTAGTTTAGTTTTAGCAAATAATCTCGTTTTTCCTTGCGTGACATTGTATTATTCCAAGTTTCTCTCCTCAAACGTGCTTAGATTTCTGTGAATCTCTACTACAACAACAGCCCAGTTCGTTTTAATGTGCTGCTCTTTGTGTGCATGCTACTGCAACTTTATCCACATTTGTATTATTCTTGACTGCAGCTTTATAGTGTTTGCAGCAGCAATTTCCATGGAGAAAGCAACGTCAAATGTATTCTTAAATGTTTCTCTGGTGACAAGTTTTCTTTCAGCATTCTGCAGACTAGCTAATCTTTCAATGCTCAGGATAGCCTTTTGTCAAATTTGCAATATTTTTTTAAGTCCTGCTGGCTGTGCTACAATGACTCTTTTTGTTTGCATTTATGAAATCTGATGTTTTCAGCAATCCATAATGGTTCTGATATAAATGCTCCTGTAATACTATTTTATTTTACTAACATGTTCCACAAGGGTAAATTGCGAGTGTTTTTCTGTTTCATAATTTACAGGTAAAGGTAAAGGTTCCCCTTGCATATATGTGCTAGTTGATGCTTTCAAACTACTAGGTTGGCAGAAGCTGGGACAAGTAACGGGAACTCACTCCGTTATGCAGCGCTAGGGATTCGAACCGCCGAACTGCCGACCTTTATGATCGACAAGCTCAGAGTCTTAGCCACTGAACCACCACCTCTATTTACAGGTTGCCCTCACTTAGTGACCAGATCTCCCCAGAGCCACTTATAACCTAGTTCTGAAGTTTCAACGGCCACAACTCCCCCGTATTCATTATCACACTTGGGGCATTTGGTAACAGGCTTACATTTACGGTCATTTGCAGAATTCTGTGATCAGGTGACCACAATTTTTGGTCCCCCCCCACCCAGTTTCTGACATTTACTTCTGGTTTCCAGCAAAAAAACACTACTGAAGAAGACAAGTTCATTTAATAACTACAGTGTTTGCTTAATGACCACAGCAAAAAAGATCATAAAATAGATGTGGTCATGTGGTGATCCACTTAACGACCATCATGATTTACAATTGTAATTCTGGGCTCAATTATAGTCATAAATCGAGGATATCTGTATATGGTTCTTCTCTCATAACAACAGTAAAGATGTGTCTTTTTTTAGCAGATTTTTTATTATTTAAAACATTTTTTCCCTTCTACAACACCTTACAGTCATTACATCAACACTGTTATGTCATCATACCTGTACATGTATATAATATTTCACTTCTATATTTACACACCTTTATACACAGATATATATATATATATATATATNGTCTGTGCTGGATTGCTGCCAAGGCCTGGACTGTGCTGGATTGCTGCCAAGGTCTTGTCTGTCTGTTAATAAATCCTTGAAATATTTTTGTCTCGGCGTGCTTTGGTGTAGGACGAGGGGGGTCAGAACAATACAGTATGTGAGGATTGAGAGAACTTCTGGCAGACTTTCAAAATTCTGTTATCATACAATATAGCAATAGAGGTCCATTCGTTATTGCAGTGGTTAATCTCTGATGTTGCCTTTTGATTGACCAAAAGTAGAATCTATTCATATCATGGGGAATAATGGTTTGCCATGGAGCTCTTGATACTTTCTGAGCCTGATTCTTTATGAAAAATTGCCTCACCACTCAACCCATTACAGCACGAGATGAAAAGAATGACATTGCTATACACGAAAAAGCATCTCAGAAACAACCAACAGATTATCACAACTGTATAGTATCACTGTAGCACACAAATTAACTAAATCCCTCCAAGATATCTTAAGACCTACTAGCCCAAGAAGAAAAACAGGAATTATTTACAATGTATTGTGTAAGGATATCTACTATATGGGACAGACAGGGAGAAGGGCACATCCCTTAAACACCAAGTTGCAGTCAAAAGACTTGATGAAAACTCTTTAATCTTCCAACTCATGGACACACTAACCATAGATTCAGCTGGGAAATTGTGAGCATCCTAGACTAAGCTAAATAAAAAAAAAATGCTAGAGTATTCAAGGAAGATTGGAAATGAGCCATCAATAAAGACATACATATAAACTACATGTACATGCCATTCAAAAGCAGCAATAAAAAAACTAAGAAGAAAATAAAAAGTAAAGTGCAGATAAATAGGGATTAATACCACACAATCAAGCAGAAAACAGTAACCTAATTAAGGAACCAACTTTTTCTGGACAGGGAGGCTCTCTGCTTGGTCACACATGCCCTGGCCAACTCCGATTGGACTATTGCAACATACTCTACATGGGGCTACCCTTGAAGAGTATCCAGCAGGATCAGCTGGTGCAGAGTGTGGTGATGCAAGCTCACAAAAGGGCACATATAACTCTCTTGCTCTAAAAACTGCACTGGGTGCCAATTTGCTTCCAGGTTCCATTCAAGGTGTGGCCCATCACCTATAAAGTCTTATATGGCACGGGGCCAGGCTACCTATGGAACTGGTTTTGCCCCATCACATCAGCCAGTCTCATTTGATCAGGAAGGGAAGGTATATTGCAGACCCCATCAGTCAAAGAATTCCAACTGGCAAGATCTAGGAAGAGAGTCTTCTCTGCTGGTGGCCCCACATTATGGAACATCCTTCCCCCAGAGGAGAGGTGACCCTCCATTCTCCTGGCCTTCCATAAAGGGATCAAAACCTGGCCCTGTGATCTTGCGTGGAGGGCACAAAGGTCCATGCAACGTGGGGTTGGCTGATGCCACAAGAGCCCTCTCTGTCTTTATTAATCAGTGTTAAATGACCATCTTGGAATTCTTATTTTTAATCTCTTTGAAAGTTTATAATGTTATGATCTTAGACTTTAAAAAAAATAATAATCCTAAATTAATCTCAATATTATATCAATTTTATATGCTGTTCTATATGCCAGTTATACTGTACACCATTCAGAGCCCCTCCTTGAGGGAGATGAGTAGCCTACAAACATAAATAATAAAATAAAATAAAATAAATACCAAGGAGAAAACCACACCACCAACAGTAGTGGCAGGGCAAGCTAGAGAGTACCAAAGATTTCACAATTCAACTCTGAGCAACTCTGCACCGAGGTGGCGCAGTTGTTAAATGCAGCACTGCAGGCTACTTCAGCTGACTGCAGTTCTGCAGTTTGGCTGTTCAAATCTCACCGGCTCAGGGTTGACNTCTGGAAACCAACAGTTCATTTTTTGACATGCCCATCCCCCCTGGTTAGCTCTTCTTCCTGATCACAGCCCAAATGAGTGTGCATGCGCTTTGCGCGCCCACACAAAGTGCTCCTTTTTTGGCACTCAGGCATGGGCGCTCCCTTTTCGGCACTTGGTGCTGAAATTGTTCACCATCACTAATCCAGATGTTCTGCATCCAGAATATCTTCAACCACACAACTTAGATTGGATGTAGGTTCTTTTCTTCCTTTCCACAGAGCTCACTGCTACTCCTAGGGAAGTTAAAAAGCAAAAAAAGCCTTGAATAAACATTCCCCCCTCCCTCCATCCCTCCCTCTCATTATTTAATCTCAAAGTCTGGGGGTTCTTGCTCAGGCCACTTTGTTTTTTAAAAGATAGAAGGAGATTGGTCTATAAATAATTGTGAATGCATTCTTAGATTGTCCCCATTACAGGGATATGTTAGCAAATAATGGAGTTTATACATGAGTATCTATTTATCATAGGACTCCCTCAGACCTGAAGCATTAGTGTTGTTGCTATGATAAGAAGAACAATGATTTATAAATAAAATTTGAATTTCTATTGAGGACAGGCATATTCAATTGCTGATACAGCATTGTGATTGAAAGACTTTAGATTTGATTTAGATTTATTCCATTTGTGTGCAGGGACAGGAATTCCTGAGGAATTGTAGAACTCCATTATAATTTTAACAAATTGCATTCTAAATTTCTTTTGAACTATTCAGCTTCAGTTTGTTGTTTTGATTTATGCATGGAAGAAATAATGGCTTTTTCCTGTGAACAGATTCCTAGGTGTTTCCAGATAAGCGCTTTTATTGTGCAGAATCCTTGCCTTCTTCCATGTAATGAGAAGAGGATCCAGTCGTTGCTTTCCATTCCAAATCCCTGCTTTTTTTATATATATATTTTTAAAGTATTTAGTCCTCTATTAAAGAAGGAAAATGGGATATGAATATAGTACCTTTGGAGTGATAGCAATAGAATCTTTTAGAAGAAGGAAAGTTGAACAGATTTCCTTGAGTTATAATGGTGTTCTTTCCTGGATGAAATAAGGTACACTGTAGCACAATAATCTCACCTGCCACTGTGTTGATTTTCTATGAATAAAGAATTCATGAAGGGAGATTCCAGCACATGCTAGTTGTACAGTTGAACAAATCATTTTTACTGAAAGGTATGATTAGCCCTTTGGCTGCAAAATTAAATGATTTTTGTGATTATTTTTCCAAACTCTTGATTAATGAAAGTCTTACTCACTATATCTTATTTGTTAACTGCGTTTGTAATAAGAATGCAAATTTTGTGAAATTTGTTTCCTAGGTGGAAAGTCATGAATACCTTGTCAAACCTTCCATTGACCCCAATCTTGCTGAATTGAGAAAAAGAATGGATAAGCTGGAAGAAAAAATGCAGGGCGTCTTGAAAATTGCAGCCAAGGAATTAAGTATGTTGGAGGGTGGAAATTATTTTACCAAGAAGTACTTTTAAGTTTGTTGAGTTTTTTCTTTCTCCTTTCAAGTCACCATCAATAGTGACTTGCTTAAGACAGCTTCACAGTCTAAAATGAAGTGCCACATGTCAGCCTTCTCTAGCCTAGGGATTTCTGTGAGTTGTAACCCAAAACATCTGGAGGCACCAGGTTAGATAAAGTTGTAGCATATTGCTCTTTTAATCCCTTCTTGGAAACTTATTAGAGTTTCCCTTGAATAAGAAATAAGCTTTCCCACTGCTACTAATATTTACTTTGAACTTCAATCACTTTCTAGGTTCTGCTAGCACCCTGTTTTTATTCACTATACGCATTCAGAGTCTTCAATGAATACATACCATGTTATGCGTATCTTTAGGGGTCCTTGATGTGGAAAAGATACTCTGAAGGAAGAATTCTGGAAAATTATTTCAGTATTCAAGGATGCCCAGTCAATGATTTTATAGCTCTCCCCCCCCCCCACATCTCCCTCCCATTAGTTGCTTGTCATTTCACTTCTACTGAAAATGTTAAAAACTGCAAAAGCTGTGGAGTCAGAGGCACCATACATCTGAACTGCATCTTTCCTTAGGCTTTCTGTAGATGGGGGATCCACCTAATGCAACTTTGACTGCTAAATTGATATGCCATAGTGGTAATTATTACATAAAAAATAAATAAGCTGTAGAAAATAGGTATTGCCATTTGTAATCGTAATTTTGAAATGAAGGTAAGATTACCCTGTTGACAGATGAATTATAATTTTCTTTGATAATGCTGTCCAAAGCAATTTAATACATGGTCTTATTTAAACACCTATATTTTTATTTGTCTCAGCAAATGGCAGCATCTACTTGTCTGAATTTGAAACTAAAGAAAATTGGCCCTAAATTATTACAACTATGGGAAGTTGAAAAACATCCCACAAGAAGCCTGTGACAAACTACTTCTGTACTCTTCCCCCCCCCCCCAAAATCATTGTAGTTAAGATCCATTCTGGGTTAACTTTATTCTTAACTTAACTTTACCTTGCCTTTACCAAGTTGCAATATAGATTGAGGCATTTTTAAAACTGAAACTCTCATACTTCTTGATTGTAGACTATGGCTAAGGGCTTTCTGAAACAAAATAATTAATAAGAGCCTGGTTCTTTTACCACTGTTTTAGGTAATGTGATGATGTTACAAATTAGATATATCTCTATTGTTGGGCGATCCATTAATGAAAATTTCTCAGATGCTTTTATCTGGTCAGCTTGATGATATGACTTTCTCCAAGTCCTATGATTGCTCAGTTGACTTTTCAGTAAGGGACCTGGTACAATGTTAAGCGGCAAAACCAAGGAAAAAAATTGATGACAGAGTGAAGATAATGAAGGTGTGATTTGTGTGCTTTTATGGTGCCATAATCAGTCATATATGCTATTTCCTCTCCCCCCCCCCCCCAAAAGGTTTGGAAGCTAGCAAGAGTATCAAATTAGAATGCAATGCACAGTTTGGACATTTTTTCAGAATTACCTACAGAGAAGAAAAGGTTCTGCGGAATAATGTGAAATATAAGATCTTGGAAACCCAGAAAAATGGGGTGAAATTCTCTAACAGGTAAAGTCAACATCACAAGTCAGTTCTGTTCCTGCTTTTAGCCCTGAACTGACTCTTTAAGTATGCTACTTAGAAAATGATGGCATTCCTGGGGAAACGGGAATATTACAATGTGAAATGTTGCAAACATTTCTGCCTTTTTTATTTATGTCCAGTGCATTGAAAGAGATTAATGAAGACTATGTGAAGAACAGAAAAGAATATGAAGAAATGCAAGATGCTGTAGTTAAAGAAATAATCAACGTTGCATCAGGTAAGACTATAGCTTGCTTCTGAAATTGCTATGTATGTTAAGAGAATAAATACTTCAATAGAAAGGGCAAACCAGATTAAATTATTGAGCAGATCAATAGAACTTCCAAAACATTTTGACTTGAAAGAACAAGCAGGATATAATTATCTGTTTGGAAATTTTTAAAAGTGCCATGGGAAGTATCCATTTGTACATTTTTTTTCTAAATTCTATCATGAGGATTTATTGATTCTTTAATATACTTTCTCAAACAGAATTTCATTTGGTTCATCATTTGATATAATAAACATAATACCAGTTCTAAAGGAAAAATGGTGTTGAATAAACAGAAAGTATATAGAAACTTCACACAACTAATTTCTGCTAAAACATATCGTCATTCTCACTTAGTCTTCATTCCCATCAAATTGTATCCACACTCCTTTTAAACAAAAATTGATGGATGGACGATAAATAGATAAGATAGATAGCTTTAAATTTGTTATGGGTGCTCATTCCACTAGACTGGTTGGTTTACCAAAATTTAATAGATAATTTAAAGTGTTAAAAACATAAAGCAATAGAAGAAAACCTGGTCTAAAAACAACCACAACAATGAAAACTGAACAGGGTCTTGACAAATATGAACCTCAGACCTGGGAGCAGAGCCAGGTTTTAAGGGCTTTCTGGAATCCCAAGAAAATGTCTGCTGTCGGTTTCAGTGATGTCCCATTTTGTCATGGAAATTGTAGTAGATGATCTTGTTTAGTATAGAATATACATGTATATCTACTATAGTGTGTATTGTGTATTTGTGTATCATAGCATAGTAGATTATCTTGTTTCAAGAAAGGGAATGCAGGAACTCTGAATTTCTGTCTCTTTTAAAGTCACAACTTTTGCAAAATGGGATTTTAGCTTTAACAGGAATTAACAGTTTGTGAGTTTTAAATACTAACTTTGCCAATTTAAAAACAAACTTGTATCATGCTTGTCATTTACACCATTTGAATTTTGGCAAATATTCTTGACTACCTATATCTTGCCCTGGTATAAACAAATGATAAACCAAAGTAGCTTTTTTGATCACTTCTTGCAGGTAGAGCAGAAAAAGCTTTCCCCCGGGTGATAGGGAAGTAATAAATAGGAAACATAAGCATGGATAAGATTATGATACAGGCAAATGGACTAGCTTGTAGCTTTCTGTTGCATAAGCTCTTCCAGATTGCATGAGAGCTCATGACTAGTGGCTGCCTAAACATTTGGTACATAATGTTCCTAGCAATAAGCAATACTTTACATTCATTGATGTAAATCACTAATGGCAAACCTTTTAGACACCGAGTGCCCAAATTGCACATGTGTGCCCAAACTGAAAAATGTGTGTGCGCACGCAAATGTGTGCATGCACAGACCTTCATGTATGTGCACATGCGCAGCAGAGACCCAAAGACCAGCTGGCTGGTGGGGGGGTATCCCAACACCGATAGTGCGGCAAGAGGTAAGACCTTTTTCTTTTGTGAGCTTCTGTTTCGTTGTTTGCAGGGAAACAGAAGCTAACAAAAAAAACAACACCACGGAGATCTGACCTGGGGTGAGTGCACGTGCCCGCAGAGAGGGCTCTGCGTGCCATAGCTTCGCCATCACGGGTCTAAATAGTAATTTCTGATTCTAGACATTGAATATATGTCAGAATAGGCTTGTGGGGATTTAACAAAATAGATTAAATCTACAATCCACCTTCAATTCAAATGCTTTGAATAAGGTAAGATATTTTTATGCTGTATTTTTCCATGTCTCTAAATGTACTGGATAGTATAAACTTCTAGGGATTTTTCTTTCTCTAAAAAAGATTTAAGGTTCATTTACACCGTCTTTAGCCTCTTTGCTTTCATTCACTATAGAGTGAAATAAAACATAATTAGATGCCATGAGGCCCATTTATCAATTTGTCCACTAAATGCTGGAAGCCTTCAAATAACTGTGTCTCTAATTTATTGATGTACAGATAGTCCTTGACTTATGAATATTAATTCAGTGACTGTTGAAAAGTACGATGGTGCTGAATGTTCCTCAGAGTTACAGCTGTCCCAGAACCTCCATGGTAATGTGATTGTGATTTGTGTGCTTGGCAGCCCATTTACACTTAGGACCTCTTGCCAAGCATCTTGCAATCACTTGATTACCATTTGCAACATTCCCTGCTAGCTTCCCAAAAAAGTCAGTGGAGAAGCAGAAGGAAGGTCACAAGGGTATGTCTCCACCCGCATATCCTCCCCAGCTCTTCTGTGCTCTTGCTGGCCACTTGTGCACCCCAGCATATCCTCCCCAACTCACATGGCACACTTTCCCTGACTCAGTGGCACCTCTCCTGCCCCCATCTTTCCTCCCCCACCTGGCTGCAGCTACTTGCCTGCTAGACAGCTTAGGATGTTGCAACTTCCTATCGACTTCTCCGCTGATTTTGATTGTGGGAAGTCAGCAGGAAGTTGTCTCTTCTAATGACTGTGGGATTCATGATGATAACTAGGACTGCAGAGATTGCCATCGCTTTCGGATGCAATTACACTTTATGAGTGCATCACTGTTTTGTTTTGATTGCAAGTCCAGGACCATCTGCATTAACAAATGTAGCTGCTTATTTGCTGAATACAGATGTTCAGAGCAGGTTCCATTAAAAGGAAATAAAGAAATGATACTTCTTTTAAAATCAAAGCACCTAATTATAAAAATTATAGATGGAATATTTGGTCCTTTCTTGCTTAGGTTGCTGCATTTTGAATTTGATAGAACACTTATTATTTAGCATATCATACCAAATGTGGCTAAATTATAGAAAGCATTTTACCTTGACTTGCTCAAAGCAAAAGTCAGTGGTGTACGTAACCATGTTTGTAACTCTATGTGATTGGTAGAACAGTTCTGCTAATCAGCATGGGATTCATCAATATCTGATTTCAAAAATTAGAGCAAACACTATTACTTTGTATTGTTTTATGTAATTAAATAGTAATATTTTATCCTTATAATTGGATTAATTTTCATTGTTTCTCTAGTATGGTTAGCTGACAAAAGCACCCATGTTGTGGATGATTACAGTGGTATCTTTACTGCCTTCATTCATTCCTAGTCTTTAGTGATTAAAACCAGTGGATCTCTGACTTTGATATGGGCTGTGGGAAGGGGAAAAGCCAATTAATCCCCTCTGTTCTGTTACTGTCTGAATATGGTTGAATCTAAGTATAGCAAGAATCTGCTTTTGCTCATATCGAAATCTGTTTATCAAATATATTTTTTCTTATCCAGAAAAAGAAAACTGTACAAAACACAAAAAATGAATAATAAAAAACTACATGGTTCATTAGTGTGTCTTCTGTGAACTATATAGTATATCAGTATACAGAACTATACAGTATATCACAGAAGTGAGTACGCCCCTCACATTTTGTAAATATTTAAGTATATCTTGCCAGCAGTTTAGACATTAATGGCAGTTTGTTGCATTATTTTGAGGGGACAGCACATTTACACTGTTATACAAGCTGTATACTCACTACTTTACATTGTAGCCAAGTGTAATTTCTTCAATATTATCACATGACAAGATATCCTTAAATATTTACAAAATGTGAGGATGTGTTCTCACTTTGTGATATACTGTATGTATTTGGCATTCTTGTTTTTTTACATAACTATCAAGTTTCATTTTCTGCTTAAATGATAATATCCAAAGTGCGCTTACAAACACTAAAAAAATAGTTCTCAACAATTTTGAAAGTAAAATGAAACAAAAATTGATTGTGTGTCATCAGGTCAGTCGATTCTTGGCAGATAGATACATACAGGTAGCCCTCAACAACCAATTGCTTAGCAACCGTTTGAAGTTATGACAGACAACTCAAAAGGTATTTACAACTCAGTACTAAAGTCCCAATAATCCCCCCCACCCCCCAATCCAGTCATACAACTGCATTTTGGGTGCTCAGCCACCGGCTTGCAATTATGGTTGTTTGTAGCATCCGTAATCACGTGACAATATGTATAACCTTTTCTCCCGAAAATTGGTCTTTACTTCTGATTTTCAATGAAAACAGGCTATAACAAACAATAGCTTCACTTAATGACCATAATGTACCAGGTCTTCACTTGTTGCTTAACAAGAACTGTCAGATGAATCCCATTGGGAAGACCATTCCATTGTATTGATATTTTCACACAGAGCCCAAGCTGCATGCTTTTATCTGAGAGGGAAGGTAGAAGAGACTTCTTCAAAATACTCAGGTTTGACATGTCACTGGAAGAAGCATGGTGCCCTTGCAGTTAGCTTGAGAGTATGTTGTCTGCAACTTCCTCTTTGAGAAAATGAACTGAAATATTCTGTATTAGCTGCTGCTTATGAGTATTCTCCAAAGACAAGCCTATGTAAACCAGACTTTATATATATATATTAGATTTTTACAACCCCTGGTAAGCCCCAATTATGGGAGGAAGCTAACTGCTTCCATCATCTGTCAATCGGCTCGGTTAGCTTCAAATCCCAGTAAGGGTATGGCTAGCTGATGAGAGCTAAATAGCTTGAAATAGATCTATACTAGTCTCCCTTTATTTATTTATCAGCACAAATATAACATGTATGTATGTATGTATGTATGTATGTATGTATGTATGTATGTATGTATGTATGTATGTATG